AGGCAAGAGGATTGCTCAGCCCCAACAGTTTGAAGTTTTGTGAGCTATGATGCCATAGCACTCAATCCCAGGGCAACAGAGTGAAATTCTGTCTCAAACCAAAAAAAAGAAAGGAAAGGAAAGGAAAGGAAAGGAAAATTCTTTTTAACACTCAGATTGCCCAATTTTAAAATAATGGGAGTCCTTTTCTGGTTGACTCCCACATCCTTTTGACATGACTCCAATTGGCTTAAGATGAAACTGGGACATTGTATTTTATTTATTTATTTATTTTTATATATTTATTTATATATTACTCTGTTGCCCAGGCTAGAGTGCTGTGGCATCAGCCTAGCTCAAACTCCTGTGCTCAAGTGATCCTCCTGCCTCAGCCTTGCAAGTAGTTGGGACTACATGTGCCTGCCACTATACCTGGCTAATTATTTTTTCTATTTTTAGTAGAGATGGGTTGGGGGTATCTCACTTGTAGTCAGATTTGGTCTTGAACTTGTCTTGAACTCCTAAACTCAAGGGATCCTACTGCCTCAGCCTCCCAGAGTGCTAGCAGTACAAGTGTGAGCTGTCACGCTCAGCCTAGGACATCTTTCTTGATAACTTCCTTAATTATTCTCAGGAAAGATAACCCAGGCTCATCCTGTTGAGCTCATACTCCAGATCTGGAATCTACCATTTCTCTAGGGTTGTTCAGGGCTTTTCAGTGGAAAATAGTAGAAAATGGTAGTTAGAGACTATATACTGAGCATCAGGCTCACTTATTGCTATTGAGTTTCTAGCTCTTTTGGGTTGACAGAGTATTTTTTTTTTTGAGACAGAGCCTCAAGCTGTCCCCCGGGGTAGAGTGCTGTGGCATCACAGCTCACAGCAACCTACAACTCCTGGGCTCAAGCCAGTCTCCTGCCTCTGCCTCCCAAGTAGCTGGGACCACAGGCGCCCGCCACAACACCTGGCTATTTTTTGGTTGTAGCCGTCATTGTTGTTTGGTGGGCGGGGCTGGATTCGAACCCACCACCTTAGGTGTATGTGGCTGGTGCCTTAGCCACTTGAGCCATAGGTGCTGAGCCAACAAAGTATTTTTTAAAGAAAAATTATAAGTTTATGTTTCCAAATCAAATTTAAGATCACATACTTTTTTCCTATATTTCTTTGGTATTTATATCTATTTTCTCTTGTGCTGAAAAAAAAAAATGGTTTCTAATGATGCGAGCATAATTACTTACTCGTTTTAGACTAAGATACACCTGTCGTAGAGATGGAGGTCAGGATATGCTACCTGAAAACACTGCACCTTGGCATGTGAGAAAACAGCAAAAGCAGAAACAGTTATTCTCACCTCTTCTCCCCAAAGCAAGTCATAAAACATAGCTGACCTTCCTCTAAAGTAGGTCATAAGAGATAACCTTCAGAGATAACCTTCCTATACTCCAAGGAAAGCAATATTTTCTGTATCCTCAAAAATACACAGATACCAAGAAGAATCTGCAGGATAGGGCCCTAGTTTATTACCCTTAGATCATAACCTTTTGTCCTTAAATCATTTTTCTTCACAACTATCTACTTCATCAAACATAGTGTAGAAATACAGATTTCCCCATTACTAAGAGTCTTTATTTCTGAAGGCTCCTGTGTCATTCAAACTTGCATTAATTAATAAATTTGTAGGCTTTGTATGCTTTTCTCTTAACTGTCTGTTGTTACGTGGGTCTTATCCAGGGATCTAGAGATGAATGAGAACAGAAATCTTTTTTCCTCAACAATTTAAAATAATATTAATATTGCTAGTATTGGTAAAATTACTGGCTACGCTTTTTTTCCCTCATTTCCTTGCCACAAAAAGTAACATATTACAAAAATTGTTCTGCATTTTGCTTTTTCTACTTAAAATATGTTTTGGTGATCACTCCATGGCATTATATAAAGATCTCATTTCTTTTCCACAGCTTCACATTAGTCCATTCTGTGGATCTATATGTATTATTTTCAATGTTCCTGACACAAATCTTACATAACTTTTCATATTATTATCTGTTAAATGCTGTGACAATCTACGTATTCCAGAAAGGTCATAATTCCTAATCATTTGGCTAAATTTAATTAAGAGAGAATGCAAAGACTAGAGAACAGTGCACACTCTCCACTAAACATGGTACTTTGAATTTAAGCCATTTGAGAAAGGAAAATGAGCCCTGAAGATGTTGGGGTGGAGAAGCTGGCCTGAAACGATTAATGACTCATAACTGTGCTGCTCATTCAAAAATGTCTGCCATTGTTCTTAACACAGACTCCCTAAAAACAGAGCCTGAAGCAAATCTGGGACAAAGATATCCGTGCAGTCTGTGCAATCCCAGGGAAGTAGAAGTGAGGAGAAGGGGAGAGCAAATAAACGGAGCATGTTTCTGAGCTGCCACAACAGACGTGGCTGGTTTCCTAATGGTGGGAGTGCATGCACTCCATGGAACTTCTCGCACTCTGAGTTGTGTCACCTAGCCCTTGCAGGAAGTTACTGGAGAAGCCAGAGCCTCTATTAATTCTTTTAGGCTGGTGAGCAAGCACAAGGGTCGCTCCTTGTCAATCAGCCTCATGTGCGTGGGGACTCCTTCTATGACAGCAGGAGGGAGCAGCAATAGTGGTCACACTTCAAGATGACAGGAGCAGTTTCTTTGACTATGAAGGTATCCAGGCTGCTAACGTAGGTCCAGCCATGCTGATCTGGAGTTGTACATAAACTGGGTCTGATGTACAATTTGAAATGAAATCGCCTAAATCTTCCGTCCTTATTTAGAAACCTCTGTAACAAAAAACGTTGTTTCTGACACAGAGCAAGAAAACATCTTTAGAAGTCATCTGATAGTTTCCTTGATGTTAAACAAAATAACTTTTCTAATTTTTGAAAATTCAGAAGGATATTTCACAATTTCACCTCAGTAGCCAATTCTAGTGTGTATGTATATATTTTTAGATGAGATCTTGCTGTGTTGCTCTGGCTGGAGTGCGGTGGCAGATCATAGCTCACCACAGCCTCAAATTCCTGACCTCAAGTGATCTTCCCACCTCAGCCTCCAAAAGCACTGGGATTACAGGTGTGAGCCACCAGTCCCAGCTGATTCTAGTATTTCTTTCTTTCTTTCTTTCTTTTTTGAGACACAATCTCAGTATGTCACCCCCTTGGTAGAGTACCGTAGCATCACAGCTCTCAGCAACCTCAAACTCGGGCTTAAGTGATTCTCTTGCCCAGTACCTGAGACTACAGGTGCCCTCCACAACGCCCAGCTATTTTTTCGTTGCAGTTGTCATTGTTGGTTAGCTGGCCCTGGCTGGGAACCTGCCATCCTCAGTGTATGTGGCAACCACTGTGCCACGGGCATCGAGCCCGATTCTAGTATTTAAGCATAGTGATTTACAACTTAAAAAATCAGGGTATTCTATTTTAGCATACTTGTGATTTGGGTGACTAATCCCCTATGCTAATAAAAATTTTAGTCATTTAAAAATTATAAAACTTAGGTTAATTAGACAGTGGTAAAGAAAAATCATCCTAAACTTGGTCTGGGACATAAAACATTTGTATAATGAAATTCACAATCTCTTTTAGAAAGAAATGAGCATTTCTGATAAAATATAATTAATAGTATGACAAATATAAAAGGAATTAACTATTCTGAGAAACTAGCATCTTATTCTCAGTTGATTATCAATCAAAGGTTTATCAGTTTTTAAGTCATTTTTTTTAAACTAACTGTCTTAATGTGAGTGAATCTTTTTCTTTTTTTTAAACAGACAGGGTCTTATCATGCTGCCCAGGCTGGCCGCAAACTCCTGGGTTCAAGTGATTCTCCATCTCTGCCTTCTGAGTAACTGAACTACAGGCATAAGCCACCACACCGAGCGTAAGGGAATCTTTGAATTGGCTTAAGTCTCTTCTCTTGTGACAATTTTGGAATAAAACTTAGGCTCATAATTAAATTATCTGAAAGTTTTTAAAAAACCATTGTGAGGTGCAGACATCAAATATCCGCGTGTTACTGAGATAACAGAATGATTCTTATCTTTTCCCTGAATGATAGTGATTGTCCGTATCCTGCCTGTCTCATTCTGTGATTAGGAGTTATACTAGCAATAATCTTAGGAGTCTGTTAGAGAAAAGCATTCTGTTTAAAGACCACAGACTATAAACCAGTTTGAGCCAGGTTCCTTGACATGTTATGCTATTAATACAGTACTTTACGTATAGTACATGTTAATAACAATTTTGTGGAAGGAAGGAGGGGAGGGACAGAGGAAAGAGGTATTTCAAACAAACTCCTCTCTCTGCACCATGAGCTAATATCATTATCTGCATAGCAAGAACAACATGGGTGCCCAAACTACATAGTTTTTGGAATAAATGAATGAATGATGATCCCTCTGGGATGACTGGACACACTATTGTGCTAAGGCAAAGACGGAGTAGATATATGCAAGCTTTCCTCTCGTTTTATGATTCTGTGGTTTCTTTGACTATTAAAAATTGGCGAGGTAGCAGATTTCTTTTAAAGTCTGAGACTCAAAGTGCTTTCAGATGAAAGGTAGGAATAAAATGCTTCTCAACATGTTCACTTTCTCAGCAAGAAAGCCTCATAATATCACTGTCATTATGAATGGTAACGTGTAAATATCATTCCGTGGATAAGCAAGGTAAATTCCTACAAACTATGTATACCAACAGCACTAACTTGTGACTGGAATAAGAACCTTAATGGTGCCAGCTTTTATTCAATCCGGCATTAGCTGCCTTATTTTCAGCGTGCACATGTGAATGCAAGCGGCTGCCTTTCTGATGCAGAGTTTCTTGCACCGATAAGGAAAAACTGCTGAAGTCATGAGGCTGCTCCAGGCAGAGCCCTCATGTGAGTCATATGAAAGCTCCACTCTGCTGACCTCTGGCAAAGGGGAGTGAACCAGGATAGGAGAGGCAGAGGGGCAGAGGTTCAAGTGTGGGTTTTTCTCCTTGAACCTAGAAGATTATGGGTCAAGAGCTGTGTGCAAAGACTAGACAGCCTGGATGCAGCTGCTATCGCCGTTCGGAGGGAGGTGAGGCACACAGCTGTCGGAGGAGTCAGCCTGAGAGGATGGAGGCTGCGTTTGAGGTATTTGTATCCCAGGAGGCGCATCTTTCTCTATTGATAAACCAAGGACTTCAGACACTCCCTGTCTGTAGCTGGGTCTGATTCTTCTGCGGTAGGTCTAAACCAATAAAAAGGAAATTCAATTAAAGTCACAGAGAATTTATGACCGAAGTTATCAAATTGGGGCATTTTCTTGTAAACCAAAAAAGAGAAAATAACTCTTGGCGTGGGGCTGCATGAAACTCACTTGACTTGAATTTGAGAAAGTAGTTCTTCTCTGGAAATCTCCGAGGTCCTAAATGACAGCTGAACCTTAAAAGGCAAGCTGCAGTACTGGTTGGTATGCTGTGGCTTCAAAATTTCAATAATTAACTCATGACTATTAGCAATGCCATGCTAGAGGGCTATTCCCCCTAAAGCAATAAATTAAGTGAACATGAAAAACAGAGTTAAACAGAAAAAAAATTAGAAAACATCCATCAAAGAGATTTATTTAGATTAGCCTAAGTGTTAAAGACATATTTTTAGGTGAAGAAAGAATGTAGTATTTTGGCAGTTGATAATATTATAGTCTTTTTAAGGGATCTGACTTATTATTATTATTATTATTATTATTATTTTGAGAGAGAGTCACACTTTGTTGCCCTGGGTAGACTACTATGGCGTCATAGCTCACAGCAATGGGCTCAAACTCTTGGGCTGAAGTGATTGTCTTGCCTCAGCCTCCCAAGTAGCTGGGACTACAGGCGCCTGCCACAACACCCGGCTATTTTTAGAGATGGGGGTCTGGCTCTAGCTCAGGCTAGTCTTGAACTTGTGAACTCAGGCAATCTATCTGCGTTGGCCTCCCAGAATGAAGGGATCTGACTTTTTAAGAAAAGTGTTGGGGGGGGGGGCTGCAAGAAGATAAGAGAACATTTGAAGAGTGAAAATTAGGCAAATAAAGAAAAAATGGTTTTTCTAGGCACTGAATCTTGACTTTGCATGCATTTAATTCTGTTTTTTCTTTTTTCTCTAGCTAACAGACCTACAAGAAGCATCATATTCCATGACTTCATTGCACCCTCAGGGACTTCAGGCTGTCTGTGTCCAGAAGTTCAAGAGTAAAAGGCCACGTAGTAACAGTGATTCTTTTCAGGAAGAGGATCTGAGGCAGGGTTTTCAGTGGGTGAGTGAGCAGCTGATGTTGATCAAGATGCATTTAATGCCCTTATATTAATCTAAAATTTTAGAAAAGAAGCATTTCATGTGTGCTTCCCAAGGAGACTTGTCCTTACTCCCAGGGCAGTTACTGAGAGGGCCTTCCCAAGTAAATACTCTGGCAATACTGCACCATGCACTAATTTCCCTGGAGGAAAAAACCGTTAATACTAAAACATATGCCCTTTCTCTCTTCTCCACCTCTCACCTGCCTCCTTCCAACCATTCTCTTAAAGCAGAAGAAGAACCTTCCATTTGGGGCAGCCTCATCTTACTTGAACTTGGAGAAGCTGGGTGAAGGGTCTTATGCTACAGTTTACAAGGGGATTAGCAGGTGAGTGACTCAGAGGTGGGAGAGACTTTAGAGATGAGGGTCCCACCCCACTCATTTTACATTATAAAGCCAGAGAAGACACAGAAGTTCACAGTATTCAGGACCTGAGCAAGGCACCCTGGCCAACAGGGAGCAAGATGATTTGAAATAGCCTTGAAAGAAAACAAACCTACAGTGCCCTAATTAAGATTGGCATACTAAAATGTTTATCAGTCTTGCCTCTCTTTGATCCGGTTTAAACAATTCAGACAAAATAGGCTTTCTCTACCACCAACTCAAAGTACAATTATCACCCTGCAGGTAAGTGGGAAGTGCAATTGGTAAGGTGTTGCTACAGGGTTTTGTATATCCCTCCCTAAATCACGATGGTAGAGGTTTGCAATGGCTGCCTTGGGTTTGCTGCTTCATTCTTGCACCTCACCTTCATAGGAGAAACTGAAGTTGGTTTCTGCAAAGTATGGTTTGTGCAAAAAATGATGAACCCTGGGTTTTCTGCACTTGTAAAATACACAAAATGTCTGGAGAATAAAAATGCTACTTATCCAAAATCTAAATATTTGTTTTGGTAAACAACAAACTTTGCAAAATATATATAAAAGATCCATAAATTCCACCATCTTTTAGTTAAGGTGGGAAAGTTAGAAGGTCTTGTTTCTTTAATTTATGTTACTCCAATGGAGAAAAATAATAGCTCAATGGTGGTTATATGTTAATTTTTTAGTGTCATATAAATACAAGACTAAATATTTATCTTAGTATTTGTGTTGTTATTTTTATTTGTTAAAACAGAATTGTAGGGGAAATACAATTTTAAATATGTTGCATAGAAAGAATTCACTTCTATAGACTGTCCTAGGAAACTAAGAGAACAAAAGATTTGCCTCAAGAATACCAGAATGAAAAGGGCATAAAAAATATTTGTCCATATGCACTGAGATATAAGTAGAAGTATATTCTTTGCAACAAGATTATAATAAAAAAAAAATAGAAACCTGATCACAAACATCCATTAATGGAGAACTGGGTAAATAATCACCATACCATGAAATAGTGATAGCCATCTAAAGTATGAAGTAAATGTACTAATATGAAATGATGCCCAACATTTAAGAGAAAAAAGCAAGTTACAGAACAATATGTACCCAATGATCTCATTTAGAAAAAAAAACTGAGATATACTGTACATGTATAAATTTGTAGGTACATAGAAGAGTCTGGGGGGAAAAAAAGAGAGATTATTAGTTACTTCTAGTGGCTGAAACAGGGGTAAAGGGGTAATCACTCTTAAACTTTTACTTTATTCTCTACCACAAAGGCATTACATTTAGTGGTAAAAAGAAAGATTTTAATGATTCTCTAATTTGATATATTCTAAAGTCACAACAATTAAAATTGTATAATTTCAATCCAGCCACTCTGGGAAGCCGAATTGCTTGAGCTCAGGAGTTCGAGACCAGCCTGAACAGGACAGAGACCCTCATCTCAACTAAAAAGAGAAAAACTAGCTGGGTGTTGTGGTGGGTGCCAGTAGTCCCAGCAACTTGGGAGGCTGAGGCAAGAGGATCCCTTAAGCCCAACAGTTTGAGGTTTCTATGAGCTATGACACTGCAGCATTCAACCCCAGGGTGACAAAGTGAGACTTTGTTTCAAAAAATAAATAATAAATAAATAAAAAGAAGGCAGTCCAATAAATGAAACTGAAACAATTGTTAGCCATTTAGAAAAAGTGAATATATAATATGAGTTCCCAATGGAGTTAAATGAAAAAGAAAACATACAAGAACTAGAGGAAAAGATGAATTAATTCTGCGTAACCTTTGGACTAGAAAGGTCTGTCTATGCATATCAGTCAAGTTAGAACCAATGAGGGAAGACTGGAAGTGTCCATGGTGCCCATCTATCCAGGTTATGTCCTAGGGATCCTCATTTTTGAGACACCTTATGAGATGTTTCATTGAAACAGTTACCATGGTCAAAGTGATTGGGGGGAAAGCGTAGAACAAAATCGAATGTGATCCTTTATTGCAGGTGCTCAAAGCATTAAAAAATGTTAATGTATACCATGGCTGTCTAAAAAAGATTAAGATTAAAAAAGTCTAAAACATTTCCTAAACATACTTACCAAAAATCATTTTTTAGGGGGTTGAAGGGAGAATTTCACAGAGCCAGGCTTTTAGTAAAAACACGTTTGAAAGTACT